ATCTCTAGCAATTTTTGGTAGTGGTCTCCCCTTATCAATTGTAGAAAATCAGTATTTTATCAATTTTTGTAAAAAACTACATCCTGCTTATGAATTACCATCTAGAAAAACACTCACTGCTGTCAAATTGTTAAATGATAAATATAATGAAATTACTGAAAATAATAATAATCAAATTGAAAAATCAAAATATGTCTGTATAACAAGTGATGGTTGGATTTCATGGTTACTTTACCAAAACCACTATTTTGGGAAGCATTTAAAAATGAAGAAATTGACAATGACTTGGATTTCAATTATAATGACTATAATTATGATGGTGAAAATTATGATGATGATAATGATTTTGATGAATTTATTAATTTAGAAGATAGTAGTAACAATCAAGAATCTATGAAGATATATAACATAAGTTTATTGCAATTAGTATTTCTTATAAATAAATATTCAAACCAAAATTGTTATTTTATTGAATATTACATATTAGTGGTATATACCCTACTAAAAAATTACACAAGAAATCAATTGTGGTATATACCATGGTATATACCGGGTATAAATATGGTATATACCCCTCAAATTGTTTATAACATGTTATATACCATCCCTACTCCAAACTATTATGGAAACTGGTAGCATTGAATTAAAAAAGGTAATGGTCACCCTAAAAAAGCTACCAGTGGAACATCAATTGCGATTTAAGATGGGATCACTCTCTATCTTCCTGAAAACTGGAAGTTAAATTGACTGAAAAAGGTATTAGTGTGTCCTATATAACAATTCCGAAGCATATGTATAGCTTGGGTTATGAGAACAACTTTCCATTAGCAACCACAATGTTTACAAGTGCATGTGTGTAGGAATTGGCTCATGCTCATCTTGATGAAAACTGGAATAAAACCCTTTTTTCAGATGAAACAGCTTTCCGGTTGTTCTGGAATAACTTTCAGCAAATAATGACAAGACCATATTATGTTGAAATACTTTAGAGGCACTTACCTGAGGTTCAACAAACACTTGGACGTGTCTGGTACTTTCAGCAAGGCAACAATCCTAAGCATCCTAGTCATGTGACCAAGGAATTTCTCCAGGTCAATGTGCCTGAGATTATTGACTGACCATCCAATAATCCTGACCCCAACCCCATATATAACCTATGGAATATCATCAAGACCAATGTGGAGAAATTATGACCAAAAAATCTTGATGATTTAAAACATTTTTTGATTGAGGAGTGGGAGGATGTTCCAGATATACATGAAGTCGAAACTATTTTGACCATTGCAGATCTGGTGGAAATAAGGTCGAAATAAGGTCGAAACTGATTTTTACTATGTAGTTGCCTCAAGTCGAAACATTTTGACTTTGGAATTTTAATTTCGACTTCATGTATTGTTCCAGACCCTGTTATAAAAATTTAATTGGATCAATAAGGAAATATTGTGAAGCAATTATTGAATGAAATGGTGAATGAATATCCTATTAATTTTTTTTAATAAACCAATATGTTTCATAGATTTAAATGAGTCATTTTATGGATGATTTGCTTTAATGGTTGTAGATTTATTGCAAATTTACAGAGGGCAAGATTTTTCTTTCCATACTGTATATTTGTAACCACAGTCAAAGCTTGTTATAGTGGACACTTGTTTCCAGGCATTTTTGTCCATTATAACAAATTTCCACTATCTTTTTATAGTGGACTTATTATAAATAAATTGAAAAGTCCTTATAACAAGATCAATTTTTTATTAGTATGGTTAACTCAATCTAAAGACCTCCTATTGCTACACCATGTACTCAAATTTCAAAAATTGTGATTTTGTGATTTGTTCAAAAATGCAATAAAATTTTTTAAAAAAGGGCTTCACATGATTTTGGTTAAAAATTTATTTTCCTTACTGTCAAATTTAGATATGATGGTCAAGTTTTAGTCTAAATTTAGTAATGATGATCTAAAACTAGTATGAATTTAGCAATTATCATAATGCTCAAATTTTTCATGGGCATAGTAAAGTACATGTTTTAAAAAAGAATAGAACTCTATAACAAACAATTTTTTTGAGAAAATCTTTCTATTACATTAAAACTAAAGACACATTCTATCAACTAATAGAGCTATTTTTTTAAAAGGTAGGACAGAAAATGACTTCTATACTTTTAAAATTTGCCCGAAATTTAGGAGGTCTTTAGACCAAGCCAACTATAATACAAATAAATTCATGTACAAATACATATATGGGATGCGGAAAATAGAAACAGCCCTAACTGCCAAAATCTCAATTTTGATTTAATAACATACTTATATGTAATTTTTTACAAGGGTTTAGCTTAGTACTATACCCATTTTGATTAGTAAAGTTTTGAGATATTTAAAGGAAAATAGAAACCATATAAAAACCAAGAAAACGGAATTTTATAAGCAGATGTGCCATGTGCATTATGCGCATAATAGATATAGATAAATCTGTGTTATGTACCAAAATTTTAATAAAATTTTTTTTAAATTCTGTATTACATGATATAGAGAATAAATGAAATAAAAATTTAAATGCCTCAATTTGGACTCAATTCAATAAACTTAGTCAAGTATCAGGCTTTCAGCAACCTCATGCACAATGCAAATATTGTAACTATGAAATAAATGCTTGTTTATTATATTCATGATAAGAAACAAAAATGATTAACACAGATCATGTCAATGTGGAAAAGATTTTTAAATGAGTCAGAAGAATTGGATAAAAATTTATTGGATGGGGATAATATTGAATTTATAGAAAATGATATGCAAAATCAAAATGAAAATGAAGAAAGTGAATATTTTAGTAACAGTAGTAGTTAAGGTTGCGGGAGAAACTCCTCCAGAAATCAATCGACAGAGTTTCGACAGGTTACACATTAATTGTTTATTAG